ATTCAAGGCCAAATTATTTCATCCTACAATTTGGAGGGGGGGAGAATAAGCAAAAGGAGCAGATGATAAGAGAGTGCTTTATATTTATGTTTGTGTAACTTAGTCAGAATGGTCCAGCCTTTTAGCAACAGTATCCCTGCTCTGATGATTGCTCCTGTTATCTTATGTCCAGGTAAATACAGCCAATTTTCTTTCTTTGTGCTGAATTTGCAGAAATCAAGCATGTGCTCCCTCTTCCTATGTTGCTAGAGTGAAAAAAACCAAACACTTCTCATACAATAGTTTCTTTCTTCTTCAGCCACTGAGGTGGCCCTTTTCTGATTCAGTGTAGCTTTCGGAGCATGGGTGATGAAACCTGTATACCATATGCATAAAGCCAGTTCCATCAGACTGGTGATTACAACAAGAGGTAAGAGGTTTCCAGATGCTGTTGTTTATGAAGAGGACTGATTTTCTGAGGATGAGTTCTCAGCAAATTCTAAGGAGGTGCCTTTAAGAGGTATCTAGTTATGTAAACCTCAGTCACTCACGGGGGAATCTTGTCCTAAGTAAATAACTTAAGATGGATCAATGCAAAAATATACACCTGAACTGACAACGGGTCTGCTTCGTACACGTGAATTAACCCCCTGAACTACTTGGAGTAGTAGCGTAATGTATCTTTTATTCACAAGTGCAATAACGTCTGTGTGTGCATGAGGAGCACTGGCTAAAGCTCTGTGAGTTACTCTTGGAGTGTTTCTAGCATCTCAGGAAAGGCAACTTCTCAACAAGGTAAATTGATCTTTTGGGGAATCTTTGCTGCATCACTGAAGTATTCCACCAGTGATGACTTCTGGGGAAGTGGTAAGAAGAAATACTCAAAAGTGACCTCCAGAGCAAGGTACTCCTGTTGAGAAGTTGAGTAGTTTAAGATCTGATTTTAAGAGGTCCTGGATACCTTCTAGAAGTTGCTTCCTAAAGTGTCTGCACATTGGCACCGTACGTTTTTTAAACTGAGTATGCAAAAACACAGCATGGATGGGCACTCTTAAATGTGGTGGCCTGCGTGACTTCCTCGTAGTCACTTGGCAGTTCAAGAATAGAAATAGGAACATAGGGTTTCTTATGTCTATTGTGTCCATTAGAACAATACTGCTGAGAGCAACTGAGACCAAAGGCCTGGCCTTCAAAATACATGACTTGAAAGGAAAGCTGCATTTTTTTGGTAAGGTCCAAATGTATTTCATTCGGCTTTGCTGCTACTCCCAAAGTTTGGTTGTAAACAAGTATGATTTTTATGCTGGAAGCCACACATCTGGATTGCAGTGCCTGTAACTGTTTTCATCATCACAAGTAGTTATTGGCTTCGTAATGTTCTGCATGTGCAGAAAACAGCTTGTAAGAGGTAACCTGAGCAAACTCTTATTTTATAATTGAAGAGCTTAAATGTGTTAAATCACCAGTCTGCAAGATAGCCACAGCCATTAACTTTCATATATGACCCTGAAGTCTTAAAATTCTGCATTTCTAGCCCTGAAGTGTTGTTCTGATGCTGAACTGCTCTCTATCAAATTTCCATGTTCTTTGTCCAGATAAGTCAACTGTCCAAAGCAATGATGTACCAACCACTTTCATGGAAGATGAGTATGAACTTGAGTAGAGCTCACCTATAGCTATAAACCTTTTTGTAGCTATACAGCAATAAAACTTTGAAAATAATTTCTGTACGTCATAAATATAGTGATGTAAGCTGTGAGGATTATCAATACTCAATGCCAAGTGACAAAATAATGTTGCACCTGATGAGCTTCTGTTTAAGTAACAGGTTGTTTTCTCGCTGAACTGTTGGCATATCCTGGAGTTTTTGGATTCTGCACTGTGGAGGCTGAATGTATTTGAATTAATTAATATTTAAAATGTTCTATGTCCCTGATTCCAGCCTCAGTTCCCCAAACCATGACAATGCAGGTGATCACAGAAAAGCCACTGAAACAAATAGCCACTGAATTCCAATATGGACAAGGAACCACAGAAAGGGACAGGGAACTTGGAGACTTCAGTTTGTGCACAGTTCATACAAAGCAGGGGTTTGGGGGTACATGGCTGCTGACAGAATGAGAAGGGGACATGAACTGTTCACTGTGAGGGACTGAGGACACCTAGAGAAGGCTACATTTGTTTGGAGGAATTGACACGCTTCACTGGTTCTCTGCCTTCCCTTACACTTCTTGGAAAGGTCATCCAAAAAGCCTTTCCAAACTTCCAAGCACGGTGATAAGGTCCTCAGTGTGGACTAATAAAATACTGTGCTTTTGCTGCAAATTTGCTGTCATCTTCTGCTCCTAAATTGTTCGTACTCCTAGTTAAACCTGTGGCTTGCCAACTGACTTCCGTGTACTTGGCTGATTACCTCATGTTCCCAGTTTCCTTTACACTTGTCTGGGCAATTCTTTGCTCTCACAAGCAGAAATATGGACCGAGCCATAGAACAGTCACTTACTAACCACATCGCTTCAAGCAAACAAATAGGACTGCGCAGCCCCAATCTGAGTAACGCCGTGATGTGGCGTTGTTTGAAGCTCTGTGGACTTAACCGATACCACAGGAAAGGCAGGCTGTAAAGGGCAGAGGCAGAGACCTAACATATGTTCATCTGGCATTCTCGGACCCCTCTTCTAACTGGGTGTCTCTGTTGACCTGTTTCATAAATCATTAATAAATTATGCTTCTGAATAAATGCTTTCTCTGTATCTTCTCCAATACTACAGATTAATTTTACATGGGTCTATGCATTTACTCTGTTCTTCAGCAGTCACAGAAATTAAACTCTTGGCCAGATTTTATGAATGATGTTCCACATTTATTACATACTATGACCTTTCTGGATGATATAAAGTCAAGTCTAGGGATCTGTCTTTGGTTCTGTCTAACAGTATTTTTCTTCTCTAATGAACAATGTGTTGCAGTATATAGACACCTGTAATTTACATCCTTTTTCTGAGTTTCAAGTAAGATCATGATTAACGTTTTATATGAAGCAAGGTGGTGAATAGGAGAGTTCATTGACTTTTCAACCCTGGAATCACCCAAACACTGGTTTACATTCCAAATAAAATATTTGGTGGGTTTCACACCAGTCTTTACCAGTGCGTATCACAATGTTGCCGTTGGGAAAAACTGAATTTATTAAGGCAGTATATTTTAAAAATTGGCTCCAGCACCACACAGCTGGCAACTAGGAAAAAATAATCTAAGGCAGCATGTAAAAAACTTGTTCTCTAGTTAGACTGTGAATTTTCCAATAACTGCCTCCAATAGACCACCCTATGACACTGATTGCAAACATATAAAGCCTGATTGTTTCAAAAGTCATATAAATAAAATGTAGCTGTTGAAATGCCAACCTCCCGCTATTCGCCTCCAACCTTTCCATTTCATCTCTTATTGCTTTTTTCTTTTTGCTTTTTTCTTTCCTGGTGTCCTTCCTCTCACTGATGTTTTCTTTCAGTAGCCCCCCTCTTTTCTTCTCAGAACTGAGCAGAGCTTTTAGCTTTAATGGCAGAATAGGAGCCAGCAGACAATGAAAAGAAGCTGGGGCAGCAAATCCTGTGAGCGCACCAAGCACCCAAGAAAAGAACAGTGCAGGTTATTTGTGTGTGCACACAACTTGACACGCCACACGCCTGGTACCAACCTGAGCAAACCAGCATATCATTGGAATAGTAATTCTCTAAAGTATGAGCCTAGCCCAGTGTGTTTTGTTGTGTTATTTGTAGCCATTAGTTTTACAACTTGGAACTGTTCTAGGATCTTTTAATCTTTCACTTCACATGCCTTTGTTTTAAATAAAAAGGGCTTAACAATCAAAGAGAAAAATATCTGGGGAAGTACAAAACACAACTGGGATGAAGAGGCTTTCAGACTCTAGCAATGTGTTTGTTGATTTTGAGCATGATGATGTAGAAGTGCTTCAAGCAGCATATGAAAATAACTGAAAAATCTTTTACCTGAAAGCAACAATAAAAGTAACTTATTCTGAGGTGCTACAGCCAATCATTGTTACGCCACTACAATGAATCCCATTGAAGGGGACTGACAAAAGAAACGGAGTGCCATTTTTTTGCCTTGAGACCTGTGGGCATTTTGAGGAGGCCAGAGCAAGACCTGCGCTCGTGCTGACAGCAGCCTGTGACAGTGCACCGCACCCTGACTGCTCTCTGCTCCCACTGAAGCTCCTCAGAGAAAACCCTGGAGAAAGCCCTGATTGCACACTGTTTGAAGGCCAGGAGAAAGATGTGTAAACAACTGAGTAGATTTTTGAGGCATCCCTTCTTGTCATCTTGGAAAATAGAATATTTGCACGAGGACAGGCTACTCATTACTGAGACCAATCTATGAAAATAGGAAAAATAGTAGACTAATTAACCTAGATCACCGAAAAACCTAAGAAGCTCTCACTCCTGTTGTCTTGAGCTAAAATAGATCAAGTACTTCCTGTTCTATAAAATACTTTCTGTAAGGGATATTTACTAAAAGACAATGTTGGTGAGAGGACAGGGCTGTTTTAACAAATATACTTGTAAAAGAGCTGCAACTCAAATATGGCATGAATATGCAATGAAACAAAATCTGTAAAATTTAGTGCTGTGGGTCATAGTTCTGACAAGCCATTGATTTCACACTTCACAAGGTGAGCTGCAGTACAAGGTGGAATGGGATGCTTCTCAAGGATTTCTGCAGTTCCTGCTCCCAGTCCCTCTCTCCTTTAAATTATCTTCTGAAAAAAAAGAAGTGTGTCAGTGTGGATACACGCTTCTGTTTTTCATTTGTCATTTCTTTGGCTATTTGGGTCGGTGACAAGTTTTTGTAAACGTCTCGTTTGAGGTAATTAGTGTAAAATGTACTACAAATTTATCACTGTTTTCCTTACTAAAAATTAAGCAAGTCGATAAGAGTTCCACAAAACCATAATTAACTTTCCTTTTGAGAAAAGGGATGCATTTTTAAAATGTTTTTATTGCTTTAGTACTGCATGTTACAAAAAAATGTCTGTCACGGCAAAACACACTAAGAACAGGGATGAGTGCAAACCAAACAAATCAGAAAGTAAACTATCTATGAAAGCACTTATTTCAATGCAACAGGGAACAGTAATACAAGTTTGGAAACGGCTTTTCCTCCTCTGGAGAGTGCAGAACTTTTTTTTCCTCTATAGGAGCTCCTGACACAGGTCAAAGTATTGTACTACACTCAGATTTCAATTCTTTTCCTCCCAGAGAGACCTAAACATTGTCCCCAACAACACGTTCATTTTGTTGGAATAGATGAAAAGCCTAGTCCTGAGAAAGACTGCAACCTACTCTGTCTTGCCAAGGCAATAGCTATGAAGTGTGCTGTCTTCAGATGCTGGACAGAAAGATAAGGAGAGCTTGGAACAGAAAAATGCGGATTCCACACCACGACTACTTCTCAGATCTCTATTCCAATCAGTTCGTACTGACTTCCAAAAGCATAACTTCTCCAGGAACACAGCTAGCATGAACACTTTACTCAGATGCTTCAACAGAACTCCACAAATCTTGTGTTCTGTCAGGCTTTCTTCTCTTAGCACCTCTACAAAAAGGGATTCTGAAGTGAAGAGATGACCGATACCTTTATCTTTTGGTCCACACTGACATATTAAACAATACCTTCCTGTACCTCTGATGCCAAATGAAACCAAAGTGCAGCTAAAGTTATCCAAATTCCTGGATGTGCAGCCGCCTCTTTGGCACCACAGTTCATCTGATGTCAGCACTTGTTTTTTTCTGGTTAAGTCATAAATTGTGCATTATTTTCTCTGAAGTGTTTATAGGCTGGCAAATTCTCATTGTGAGGACCTGTTCACAGGCTAGCATAGCTTACAAAGTGAAAATAATCCCTTTTCTTCCCTGTTCAGTATTTCTTTTAATGTTATGAGATAATTGACATTTCTTCCCTCTCTCTGCTCTCATTTATTAAGGTAATAATGCTTCTGAAGTATTTCATAAATTCCATCCGAACATCTTCAGGATCATCTTCTAAGTTGGAATGTATTAGTTTCAGCTTGTTCATCGGGTAAGCTTTGAAGGTAAATAAAAAATAATTAGGTATATTCCTTTTATAAAAGAAATATTCACAGTCAAGCTCATGGGACAGCTCATGCTGAAGTCAGTTGGAATTCAGTAGTCTCCAGTGTTTGATACCCCAGATAACATATAACACATGAAGAAGACGTGTCATAGCCTGTTAGCATTACAGACAAGGACAACTTGTTGCTAGATTAAACTCTTCAAACATTATTATGTTTGGTCTCACATTCAGTTAGCCAGAATCAAACGATTCAGCACTGAATTGCAATTTTACTATTGAAGCGATATGACATTCTTTGATTACTTCAAAATTATGGAACAATATTCTTATGTTAAATATGTATTAATATATTAATACTTACAATAAATATGTATTTGTTTGAACACTGGAACAGGTTGCCCAGAGGGCATGTGTGTTCTCATTTGTATAAACAGCCACAAATAATTATGCAGTATATGAAGTACCTATTACTAATTTTAAGAGGAAGATCATTAGACGTTTATTTCAAAGGGCTCCTATTCTTTTGATCGATAAAATGCACGCTTAAATGGCCTCAAACGTGTCAGTTAACAAAAGATAAAATTCAACGTAAGAAACAAACTACTAGTGATGATGGAAACAAACTACTAGTGATCATGACACATGCCTACAGACATCAGGAGTTCTAATTCCTGGCTCAGCTACATACTCACTGTGTGATCTTTGAGAAGTCAGACTCTTCTTGCCTTTACTTTCCCTTTTGTGAAATAGGAGTATTGCTCACCTTCTAGACGACCTTTGAAATTCATTATTTCTGTTTTTGCAAAGCATTCTAGTATTCTTTGGCAGATTTAAATGAAAAATGCAAGCCATAAGGTATGAACAATTTTAAAGATAAATAGATAATAAAAAACTCTGAGTTAGAGATTGAGTTTTCCATTTTCTTACCCAAAGACAGATTTTCTGTGTCCCCCGCACTGCCTGGCTTGTGATGTGCAACTAGGAGACACTGACTATCAAGCAGTGGCTGCTGCTGCACGAAACAGGAGTACCACATTTCAATTTCTTTCAGGTGACTGGGCAGCTCAGGATTGAAGATTATTATTACGCCATGAGAATCCTTCATCAGAGCTGGCCAGCATGTTTCAAACCTTGAAAAACAGGTGCATGGAAAATGGTAAGATTGATAGCTGGAAAACAGAAACATGCACTCAAACTTCCTCAAGTTTTCTTTTTCCCTCCTCAGGAACACATTTCAGTACTTTATTATAACATCAGTAATCTTGACAGTGATCTATCATATTCCAAGTATTTTGACTTACCTATTATGTTAGTTGGTCCCACAATTTGCTGACAATGTAGTATTTGGTCAAATGCTTATTTAAACTTTTTCCCTAAAAATGGATCTGTCCACTTCTCAGTTGTATCTTTTGGAAATTAAGGCCTAAATCATATATATACATTGTTTGAAGTCCACTCACATAGTAACTTCAAGGAGATAAAGGCAATTACAGAGTGGGCCTCTGTCTCCTGTACCTGTAACTTCATTCTAGGAGCTATGGCCTTTACTGTTATACTCAGTCCTTATCCAAAACAAAGTTCAGTGTAAGCTGGGATCATGGCAGAGAGTACCTACTATCAGATGCTTTATAGCTGAAACTATAAAAAAATATAATGGGGTAAAGAGTCGGGAATATTCCTCATCTCAAAGAGATCACTGGTTTTAGGCCTTAAGTACAAATATTTTGTGTAAACAGAACTATTATGAATTAAGTAGCCTGGAGGAAGTAACAATGATGCTGGCTTACTTTTGATCACCACTGCAATCCCACAACTCAAATCGACACCCAGCTCCCTTGCTGTTACCGTTAAAGTTTGGCTTCTCATACTCCAGAATCCTGTGAAAATGAGTGGATATAGGATGTGGTATCATTCTACACACCACCACAACCAGAAAGCGGGACTTTCTGAGGGGCAGACAATTGTCAGGGGGTTGGTTCAGTCAGCATGCCACGAGGTTTCGCTCACCTTACACCTTGCGTCGGGCTGTAGCTGCCAATCCCTTCTATGCTCTCCGAAACAAAGTTTGCCAACACCGATTTTCCAGACTGGCAGAAAGCGGGAGTTAAAGACACCCGTAGGAATTTAATGTGCCAAAGCCACAACGAAGAGAAGAGCACGGTGTTTATCCGAGCACCAGTTAAGGCCCCTGTGCATGCAGGCCTG